TAGTTAGTTTCATCATTTAATTTCAGATTAGAGATGAAAATTGGGGAAAAATTGGAAGAAAGTTCTTAGATCTTGAATTCGACTTTTGATTGGGAATTTGACCTTGGATTTGGATAATTTTGGTATGCATGAACTCGTAAGAGCGCGAGGATTCTGAAAATATAAATTTTACCCGATTCCAAGACGTGGGCCCGAGGGGCATTTTGGTTATTTTACCTAATTTCGCATATTAGCTTAGAATTCCTTTGTATAATTAGTTACTTGAAGTGTTATTTACATTATGCAATTGAATTGAATAGATTTGGGCCGTTTGGAGTCGAGTACTCGTGGCAAAAACATGGTCTCGGATTGATTATTGAGCCGGTTCGAGGTAAGTGGCTTGCCTAACCTTGTGTGGGGGACCTTCCCCTTAGGATTTAGTATTATTGTTAATTGAAATGCCTTGTACGTGAGGTGACGAGTGCGTACTTGTGCTAATTGTTGAAAATCCGATTTTCATTAAGCAATTACTAGTAGGTTTCCTTGCATGCTTATATTACTTGCACTTTAAGCCTTTTGTTAGCTTAGGAAAACATGTCTAAGTGATTTGATTGCTTTATTTGCTCAAACTGTTTTACCTGAATTATATACAACATGCTAGACTAGAATTACATGTTTACCTTAATATGAAACTGACATTTGGTGAATATATTTCTATGTTGCTGCTGTGTATTTTTATTTGGGACTACGGATGTGGGATTCAGGTAGATCCCCCTTATCTATTTATTTGGGACTACGGATGTGGGATTCCGGTAGATCCCCCTGCACATTTATATGCAACTACGGGACTACACCCGGTAGATTCCCCCAGTACTGGGTATTTACATTTGGGGATTATGGAACGGGATTCCGGTAGATCCCCGGTGCATTATGAGTTGGACTATGGGATGACACCCGGGAGATCCACTGGACATTTACATTTGGGGGCTACAGGACGGTATCCTGGTAGATCCCCGGTTGCTATCTCTATATTGAGCTGTGTTCCCTCGGTGATTATTTTGCCTCTATTCTAGTTGTTGTTGCTATTTCTATTTTATGTTATTTTTTACCATTGCACTTAATTATATTGTCTTATTCTACACTGTTATACTTTGTATTTTATTTAACCTCAGTAGAGCTCTGACCTTCCTCGTCACTACCCGATCGAGGTTAGGCTTGGCACTTATTGAGTACCACTATGGTGTACTCGTGCCCTTTCTGTGCATGTTTTTCATGTGCAGATCCAGGTACTTTCACTCAGTCTTATCATCCTTGAGGCAAGGCACTTCTGTAGAGACTTCGAGGTATATCTGCCGCGTCCGCAGACCGAGGAGTCCATTTCTATCTTTCTGTAATAATATAGCCCTTTAGTACTTCCCTTTTGTTAAATATTTCTGAAGTTAGAGCTTCTTATGTATCTCTTGACTTGTGATTCATGGGTTTCCGGGTCTTGGAAGTATGCATTGGTTGAGAGTTAAATATTGTGTATGTCGAGCGACACTTTTAAACACTGTTTTATCACTCTTCTTTCTGTTTTAATTTGTTTTATTCTGCACTTTGGTTATCTTTCGCAATTTAGGCTTACCTAGTCGTAGAGGACTAGGTGCCGTCACGATAGTTCATGGAGGGTGAACCGAGGTCGTGATATTCAAGAACCATTTTAATATAATGAGACTGAGACAAAGCTAGACCTTGAGGAGTTTGTAGGATCTTAATTCCCAAAATTAAATCGGCAAATCCTAAATCTTTCATATCAAACTTACTAGTAAGTATGCGCTTAATATCATTTATGTTAGCAATGTCATTACTCATTATCAGCATATCATCCACATATAAACAAACAATGACTATTTGATTTGGAGTATTCTTAATGTAAACACATTTGTCACACTCATTGATCTTGAAACCATTTGACAACATTGTTTGGTCAAATTTCGCATGCTATTATTTTGGTGCTTGTTTTAGTCCGTAAAGTGACTTAATAAGTCGACACACCTTCTTTTCTTTTCCGGGAACTACAAACCCTTCAGGTTGTTCCATATAGATTTCTTCCTCTAAATCTCCATTTAAGAAGGTTGTCTTTACATCCATCTGATGGATTTGAAGGCCATACATGGCGGCTAACGCTATTAACACCTGAATAGATGTAATTCTTGTTACCGGCAAGTATGTGTCAAAGTAATCAAGACCTTCTCGTTGTCTAAACCCTTTAATAACTAATCTTGCCTTATATTTGTCAATAGTACTATCAGCTTTCATTTTTCTTTTGAAAATCCATTTAGAACCCAAAAGTTTATTTTCCAGAGGAAGATCAACCAATTCCCAAGTATGATTACTTAATATGGATTCTATCTCACTATTGACTGTCTCTAACCAATGTTGTACTTATGAGGAAGACATTGCTTCTTTGAACGTTTGAGGCTCATTTTCCAATAAGAATGCTAGAAAATCTGGTCCAAAGGAAGTAGTTGTCCTTTGACGTTTACTACGTCTTGGATTTTCCTCATCAAACGTACTTTCCTTTGCTTCTTCCCGAGGTCGCTTAGATTTTTCATTAGATGACTCATATTCCATTTTATACGGATAAATATTCTCAAAGAATTCAGCGTTATCAAATCCAATTACCGTATTAATATTAATGTCGGGATTTTCTGATTTATGAACCAGAAAATATGCCTTACTATTTGTTGCATATCCTACGAAAATGCAATCAACGGTTTTTGGTCTAATTTTTACCCTTTTGGGTTTAGAAACTTGCACTTTAGCCAAATACCCCCACACTTTAAAATATTTTAAGTTGGGTTTCCTTCCTTTCCATTTTTCATATGGAATGGATTGGGTTTTGCTATGGGGAACTCGATTCAGTATTCGGTTAGTTGTAAGAATAGCTTCCCCCACAAGTTCTGAGGTAAACCAAAACTTACTAACAAGGCATTCATCATCTCCTTTAACGTTCTATTCTTTCTTTCCGCAATTCCATTAGATTGCGGTGAGTAAGGGGCAATTGTTTGGTGAATAATGCCATTTTCCAAACATTTTCCTTCAAAAGGAGATTCATATTCGCCGCCCTATCACTTCTTATCATTGTGATCTTCTTGTTTAGTTGCGTTTCAACTTCATTTTTGTATTGCTTGAATGCATCAATTGCTTCATCTTTACTATTAAGTAAGTAAATATAACAATATCTAGTACTGTCGTCAATGAAAGTTATGAAATACCTTTTCCCACCGCGAGATGGTATTGGCTTCATGTCGCAAATATCTGTGTGAATCATATCAATTTCCCAAATCCCGATCCCGATCCGAGCGAGCGGCGACGACGACGGCACGAGGCACCACTTCTTCTTAACTCTTTAAGAGATAGAAGTTGAGCTTATATATATACACACACACACACACAAAATTTTCTTTCTTTCTTCCATTAAGGGACAAAGTGCATTAGTAAAGTGAATTAATTCAAAATTTCACTTCCCTCCATTTCTTTTTCCACTATTTTCCATTCATCCCTCTTTTGTTATTAATAACAAAAACCCAACAACATCAAATGACCTTTTTCTTCTTCAGCCGAGATGACAACATATGACTTCATTTTGAATAAAGGATATTATATCAAGTCATATCAATTGTGCCCTAAATGGATAAATGTACTACATCAAAAATTGACCATCACTATCATGCTTAGTACTTGATTGTGATGACCATCACTGGTAAGTTTTGGAATGTTTGCACTAGTACTTATTATTTGATTACGCTGGGGCTTATCCGATTTGAAGTGCAAACCGTATCAATGGAAAAATGATATACCATCGTTTTAATTTAGATGACACATTTCGTTCAATTCAATATTTTAAAAAATTTAAATATTTAAAAACTATACGAAAAGTACTATAAGAAGCAATTTCTCTCATGTAAATATGATAAAATATACATTTTTAAATATTGGTCAAACTTTACACAGTTTAACTCTAAATAAGCGAAATGTGTCATATAAATTAAAATGGAAGGAGTAAATAACTATTTGAATCTCCATCTCTACTTTCAACTAATCACCTAACATATGAGACAAAGAGAATTATTCCCATATTGGGTGAATATGTCTGCATAATATGGAGACTTTTGTTGTAATGTAAATGCACTAATATATGTTATCCGAAAACTTTTGTATATTTCAACATAAAAATATTTTTTCAAATTGCTAATTTTCTGTGTTAATAAATTATAATATTTATGATTTAAAGGAAACCACTCAATTTGTCTATACTTAAGTTGCCGTTTGGGCAAAGGTATTTCTAGAAAACAAAAACATGCTTGGATAATTGTTTCAAAATAAGTTTCGTTATGTTCACAGAAAAAATTATTTCCTTTTGAGAATAGCTTCAAGACTACTTAGAAGGGAAAAATTACCGGCAAAGGATGTGGGCAGTGGATGAGGCCGTTCTTCCCTTAATCAGAGGTTTCGGGTTCGAGTTCTGAATATAAAAAATTCTTGGTAGGGGGCACTTCCTCCGAATGGGACCCTACGCAGCGCGAATCCGGATATAGTCGTGCTCCAATGCGAATACCGGACATCGGGTGGGAAAAAAAAAGAAGGGAAGAATTGGTTTGTTAATTCTTTACAAAAGTATTTTTAGTTTTATATCCCTTTTATAAGATATCTTTATTTTTACATATAAAAGGTTTGAAATAGCTCATAAGAGATCTGAAAAAAGTAATTTTCTTTTATTCAAATTGTAGGCACAATAAATCATTTCCTCCGTCTTAAAAGTTACAAAAACTTTTGACTTTTAAATTAGAATTGACCAGTGGGAAATACCACAAGATGTTGGTACTTAGATTGATAAATTATGCATATTTAGCACATATGTCAAAATGCGTCATTTCTTTCTTGAATTCATCATCTCATCAAACTATATCAAATAAATCGTGATGAGGGAAAAATAATTACTTTATGTTTTATGCTTTTTGAGTTTTGTGTATTCTGACTCCTTCAATTTGTGACTATTAACTTTTCCGCCCTCATTTCTCCATCAACAATAAACATTAACCCTTGTTTCTCCGCTGCAAACTTTTAGGAATCTCCTCCCTCTCTCTCTCTCGCACACACCCGCAGAGCTTCCTCTCTTTCCTCTCGATCTTTTCTTGCTTTAAAATCTGTGTCGTATGATCTTCAAAAGCTGGGGGTTTTGCTGACTGCTGACGCTATTCGCTCCAGAACCTCAAAAAACCCTGTCTTGATTCAGTTTAGGTCTTACAGATCTATTATCATTCAATATGTTTTGGAAGCTCACTAATCTGTCTTGTTCGCCGGTATGTAGTGGATTTATATGCTTTCCTCGTTGTATTTCAATTATACGAACAAATTTTCATTCTTTTAAGCATTTTATTGGTGTTGGATTCATTCAATGTGTTAATCTGGTGGTTGAATGTATTACTTGAGTTACAGTTGAATTCCCTGCTTATAGATGAGTGGGAGAAATTTGGTGTAAATTTATACTATGCTGCATGATTCATGAATGCCCTTTACTTTGGTGTATCTACTATACATGTCAAACATATGTAATTCTGAAAGCTTGCTGACTGGCTTTTACCTTTGCCAATCGACACAAAAAGCTGTGATATTTATTTATTTATTTTCTCCGACGTTTGATTTCGTTCAAACTCGATGCTCTAATTGTTCAAATATATTTTGCGTGGAAGTTAAGGTTGAAACCGTTTTTTTTATGAGTAGGTTGAAGCAGTGTTAGACAAGGAAAACTTCACATTGGAAGAGCTTCTCGACGAAGAAGAGATAATCCAAGAATGCAAAGCTTTGAACAGCCGTCTGATAAATTTGTAAACATCCTCCCAGTTTTAGCTTGTAAATTTAAATTATGTAGTCCAGTTGATAGTTTCAGTAACAGTCAATTGACATACTGCTTTCAGGGAAGACACTAATGTCTTAACCAAGTACTATTTCCCATTAATAGTTTCAAAGTTCATTGGGAGACTATGATTTTGATTTCAGTTTGAGAGATAGAGCTCAGGTTGAGCAGTTGCTGCGATACATTGTTGAAGAGCCGTCTGAGGATGCTGATAGCAATTGGAAATTTAAGTAAGTTTTGACATGACCGAGCCTCAATTGTCATGTCAATATTTTATAAAATGTACATGCCTATATCCTTGAAAATTTAGCAGTATTTCTGAATGCTGTTTCATGCTGTAGGTTTCCTTTCATCGCATGTGAGATATTCACTTGTGAAATCGATGTCATCCTTAAAACTCTAGTGGATGAGGAAGAGGTATTGTATTCTTAAGATGCAGTTGTAATAGTTTGTGTCAATACTTTATCCAAATCAAAGTTTGTATCAATAATGCAGTTAGTCTGCCCTGATAATTTGGTCATTTTTCTACTGTGGCACAGCTAATGGATTTGCTCTTTTCTTTCTTGGAGCCCAACCGTCCTCATAGCGCATTGCTTGCTGGGTATTTTAGCAAGGTACAACCTGATTCATCCACATCCTTCATGTATAAAAGAAATCCTTTGTCCTTTGTTGTTGAAATGTTATTTGGCTGAAGCTTAACGTAGTTTTGATGCACGCAGGTTGTAGTGTGCCTCATGTTGCGGAAGACAATTCCACTGATGAATTATGTTCAGGTGGGCCTAATAAATTCTATTTAGTTGGTACTTAGTACATGCAGTTGATATTTGTAGTTATTCTACTTTATTAGCAGACCATCACAATTGTGCTGTTGGATCCTTATTCTTTTTTGAACATCCAGTTATTCCTGCTTTTCCTCTCCCATGTGACTTACTTTTGCAAAATCTCTGCTCCTAATTTGTCCAATGCTCTTTCTCACTTTACCAGTTTACCCTCTCTTACACCACTTGCTTTTATGTTCTCCCTGACTCGTTTTCACTATATATAAAACCACAATGTGTATATCTTCCTTCCTAACCTTTCATATTTGGAAGTTGAAACCAAAAAGGAAAACGAAAATTTCCGCTCCTACTTCTAATAGTTTTTCCATGCTGTCTTACGTATGTTTTCCATGTTAGTATCTTCAGAGTCGCTCTGCTATCCTCTTACTTATTAACCATCCTAAGTAGGTTCTAAAAGCCTGCCTCATTTGATACTAAAAGTTGCAAAATCATTGAACTTTTCATGGGTGCAATTTTAGGGTGGGATCTCATGGAGAAGTAAAGTTGTAGTATAAGTGTATAACTTGTTTTATGCTCTTGTCTCACCTTCATAGACATGTTAAATGGATGGTGGAACTAGGAGGGTCATTAGCTTATATTTGATTAGATGAATGAAGATAAGACTACTTTTATTACCCTTATGGAAGAATGGCTGCTTAAGCATCAAACATTCTGATTACTGGGAGGGGTTGATACACAGGAGATTATATCTAAGTCCTCAGATTTCTTATACGTGGTAAGGGGGGAGCTATGAGCGTCATGAGTTCACTGCTTGCTTAACTTTTTTATGCTGCAACTATTTGAAGCCCCTATTGGAATTAATTGGCTTCAGGCAGCTTGGTTATGGGGTATATATTGGAGATCATATCAAATCCTTTTTGTAAGGTTACCAAGGCAAAGCCTTATAATTCTGACGTAAAAAGGAAACTGATTTAATGTCTAAGGGTATGGCCATGTGGATTCACGACACAGTTGCTAGGTGTTTGTGTTTTTTCTCTCTCCTTTTTTCCTCTAATAAAATAGGTATTTACATTGGTTCTTTTTATTTTATTTGCAGGCCCATCATGATGTATTCCGTCAGATGGTGGATTTGATTGGTATTACATCCATTATGGAGGTTGTAGCGCAGTTTTCAGTTTACCGTCTACCACAATTTTTTTTTGTTTATGCTACTTGATTTTAACGTATATGTACATATAAATAGATTAATCATTTTACTTGCGAAGGAAAAACTTTTTTCTCTGATCAGCTCTTTCTTATAGGTTTTGGTGCGACTTGTAGGCGCTGATATTTACCCCAATACTAAGGATGTCATGCAATGGTTGGCTGACAGCAATTTATTAGAAATGATTGTGGATAAATTGAGCCCCTCTGTAAGTCCAAAATATGGAGCTACCTGATTATGTGATCATTTTCTTTGGTACTGGTGATAATTAATATACTACGGTTGTAGTCATATAGACTGTCTATGTACTGGGCATGTTTCGGCATTAATTACTGACGGCTTTGTTGGCATGGTTTCTTAATTGTATTTTATTATGTCTGCCTGGTTATATTATTCCTTGGCAGTGCCTTTGCTGTGATCTATTGCTCCATGATTTGCTAGTTCTTAATGTTGGCTTGTTGCTTACTGAACAGTAAACAAACTGTTAAATGAGACTTGGGAGCAAGAGGAACTAGGATATATAGTTGATACTTGATAGGAATTACCTACTCGTAAGGCACTAACTTGGACACAAAATTCCTTTTACTATAGTTGATGAGAATTACCTATTCCTAAGGCACTCAATTTGGACACAAAATCCTTTTAATTTTAGTTTTGTGTTCCTTTGACTACACTTAGCTCATTTTAACTGGCTTTATTTTTTTACATCCTTTTCGTGATATTCATATATTCACAGTCTTGATTCCAGGATTACTTAATGCAATTGAACAATCTAGTCTTTTCCTGAAGTACTTCTTGTACACTAGCTTAGACCATTTCTGATTTAGTGCTCTATTGTTCAGAGTTTTCCAGAAGAACATGCTAATGCAGCAGAGAGTCTATGCACAATAACCCGAAATGCACCATCTCCTCTTGCTACTAAACTATCAAGCCCAAGGTTTGTGGGGCTTCTCTTGATGCTAATAGTAAATATCCATCTGTATTATCATTTGTATTTGTGCTGAAAGTAATTTATAATTGATTAAGATCTACAACTTTCTTTGGGTGTAGTTTTGTAGCAAGGATATTTGGTCATGCCCTTGAAGACTCGCATTCGAAGTCTGCCCTTGTCCATTCATTATCTGTATGCATATCTTTGTTGGATCCTAAAAGATCAATTCCATCTCCTATGATGTATACTTACCGCTGCCAGTACGTTTATGAGTCATCCGTGCATGTCAATCCTGAGACTATCAGTGCAATGCTGCCCAAACTCGGTAATTTTCCTGTTTGGAAATGTGTAATCAAATTCTAATTGCTGCATACTTGTTTAAATATCTTTCTGCCCTTTGGAAATTAAATTAACATTGTCTAAAAAAGGGTGGTAAGAAAGTCATAGAAAATGAGGCATCAGAGAACAGGCCACAGGTCACACATAATGCTATATCAGTGATTGTTGCTGATATGTAATATGCCATTTATGACACAGGCAACTTGCTAAAGCTGTTGAACATATCATCTGATGACAAGATTCTTCCTACAACGTATGGTGAACTCAGGCCACCTCTAGGGAAGCATCGGTTAAAGGTTTGCTTGTTTACATTCTTATAGAAAAAGAGATGATCGTCTTTCCATTTCCAATTTGATAGGGATCCCCGAGAAGGATATGCCAAGCTAGATGTTCCTTATTATGGCTTTCCTTCATAGTTTTCAAGGATCAACTGTTTTGTCACAAGCAGTTGTAAAAGTCTGCTTGTTAAATTTACTGGATTTGTTGTGACACATTTTCCAGCTTCTAGTAGCTTAGACAAGGTACTGGCATGAAATTACATGTAATGCATGTCTACATTCATTTAGTACTGCTAGTTTGTTGGGCAGATAATCTCAGCTGAGTCTCCTACTTTGTATCTTAGACTGCTTTACTTCTTTGTTGTAGATTGTGGAATTTATCTCTGTTCTACTAAAAACCGGCAATGAAGCTGCAGAAGAAGAATTGATCAGCTCTGGGACAATTGAGAGAGTCCTGGATCTCTTTTTTGAGTAAGTTTCTTTATGCTCCTGGACTCTCGAACTTATTGGGTGCACAAAAATCATTGATCTTGTATTGCTGACTTTCTTGTTATTTTCTTCTTTGATGTTCTAACTAGTTGCATAAACGCTGTATAGGTACCCATATAACAATGCATTGCATCATCATGTGGAGAGTATAATAAACTCATGCTTGGAAAGCGGAAACAATATTCTTGTCGATCATCTTTTTGAAGAGTGTAATTTTCTTGGAAAAATTCTTCAAACAGATCAACAGCCCACAGTTTCTGGCGATGGAAGTCAGGTTGATCTTAGAGAAGTAACTGACTTCCTTTTCTTTGAAGTTTTTAGGTTGCAAGTTTATGTGCTTTTTTTCTTTTATAGTTATCCCAAGTTCCCTATGGAATATGAATATATTCAACAGTAACCTTGTATTCTCATTGCAATCAATAACATAGAATATTCTATTTGTTTTTTAATTACTGCAGCCCACATTTTCTGCTACCGGTAAACGAGCACCCCGAGTGGGTAACATAGGACATATAACACGGATTTCTAACAAACTTGCTCAGTTGGAAAGCAATGACAATCGCATTCGAGCACATCTTGAGGTGAGTAATAGCTTTAAAACTTGTTACTTGATACGTATCACAAAAGTTGAATTCTGAAGTTCTCTGAATCTAATTGCTAAAAGGTTTTGAAGCTTTAATGTTCGAACTTACTATTTCGTTGTCAAGATAACTTCATGATGGATGTTGACAGATAATTCTGAACATACAAATACCTACCCACCAAATAGAAAAATTATTTAAGAATTGAAGCTTGGTTTGTATCTGAGTTCTTGGGGATGTAGTTGCATGGAATTTATACTTCATGTGTTAAATATTCATTCTACTAAACTAAATCCAACCTTATTTTTATTTTAATGGCTGTATATTTTTGTGGTGGCGTTCTAATAAATATACATTTTTGCGGTGCTGTATGTAAATACCGTATGCTACATCTAGTTACTTTTCTCTCTTTTTGTTGCTACTGTGTGCTTTTGATGATAATTGTGTAGGTTTGGTGCAAGATGCTGTTACATAGCGTCCCCTTCAATAAATATAATTTGACATCTGATTTCGTGCACAAGTTCCAACTCTGCTTATGCTAACGTGTTTTCTTTACTCCAGAAAAATATGGAATGGAGTGATTGGCACACTAACATCTTACAGGAGCGTAATACAATCGAAAATGTCTATCGATGGGCATGTGGGTAAGTCTTTGCCCATTCTGATTCTGTAACTTGATTTTTTTGTAATCTTAGTTTTTAAATCTTGTAATATGAGACAGATCTTAAATGATATAGGCAGAATACCAACTGTGTATTTCTTGTTATTTTTTCTTTAGATACAATGGCTATTTATTTCAAATGTGTATTTTTTATTTTCGAGTTAAATCAGTAAAAAGAAAAATTTGGCTACAGTTCCATTATTTTTTTACCAAATAAAAAAATATAGCCAAAATAATGAACTTGCAATTGTGTACTTTTTTATTTCTTCTTTAGATGCTATGGATATTTATTTCAACTGTGTATTTTTTTCTTTTTTTCAGGTAAATTCTGTAAAAAAAAGATACTTGCTTAGAGCTCCTTATTTTAGCTAAATAAAAAGTTTTAGTTTAAATAATGAAAGTTTAAACTATGTATTTTTTTGTTTTATATCTTTTTAGATGCTATGCTATTTGTTTCAACAATGTATTTCTTTTTCAGGTCAAATTTTTAAAAAAGTCACCTGAAACTTCATCATTTTTAGCCAAATAAAAAAGTTTAGCCTAAAGAATGGAGTTCTAGCCAAATTTCATTACAAATTTTAAAAAAAGATGATCTAAAAGATGAATACATTTAAAAAGGTAAAAAATGTATTTTATTATTAAAAATGCAAAAAATCCATGTGGCAGGTGCGTGCATGCCACTTTCTTGAGATGCTATTGTTTCCAAGGGGGTAACAACTACCGAATATCCAAGTTTGGGGGGTGGGGGTAATTAAGACTACAAATAGTTTTAGGGTGTAACCAATAATTCATGGCTTACAGAGGAAGGACATAATTGAGAAAAATAAATGAAGAGATGTTCAGGGCATGTAGAAAACAAAAACAAAGATCTTTAAAGTATGCAGCCACTCATGCAGCTACTCTGAATAATTCACGCATGTCGATTTTCTTAAAACATATTTTGGTGTCATAACGAGCACTCTCTTTGTAGTACTTTCTAGCTCAATATTTGAATTTTCAAATATTAGGAGAAGGAAGTAAAAATGGGGGCAGAGAAGAAATGGGTGGGGTAGCGAGTAAGTAGGGAACAGGGATGCGCTTTTGTCGGTCACAAGCTAACATGAATGTGTCCTTTGATGAGATTATATACTGTCTAGATATCTTACAAAATGGATGAGATGAATTTTGACTGAAACTCTTGTAATCAAGAAGGAAATTCAAACTTGGAAATATACTTGAAAAGAGAACTGAAAGATCTGCTGATGTGTTCTCGCATCCTCTCACTGTCCTTCTCAGTTCCTGAAGCAAGTAGTGGAATAAATTCATAATTATCTTCCTTTTTTATATAATTAGCCGGCCAACTGCATTTCAAGATAGGACAAAGGACAGCGACGAGGAAGATGCTCATAGCAGAGATTATGACGTAGCAGCTTTAGCAAATAATCTGAGCCAAGCATTCCAATACTCCATATATGATAATAATGGTGCCGAAGAGGTAATTGGTTTGCCTGATACCTTCTAGTCATGCTTACTATTCCAACATATCTTTTTCTTATTGTGGAAAAGAATTTTGAGTTAAGGG